GTGATAAACTAATAGATAATTGACTAAATAAACATCCTACAAAGTTTCAATAAAAATTTCCAAGTTTTTCTTACAATTTCCGTGGTTTTTATTCAATTTTTTCCGATACCGATAATATCCCGATATTTCCTGCGATATTTCCGTGTTTTCTGACTTCCGATACCTCCGATATTTAAGACCATGATCGGGATAATATCGGGGATATTATCGATATTTAAGACCATGGTTACCATATCCCTTTGATGTTCTTTGATGATGTTTTCCATTATCCTGTCAGCTTCCTTATGCAGCCTTTCAAGTTTAGGCCTCATTCCACTTAAGAGCTGAAGCAAACTGACAGAAGGAAAAACATCTGCAAGAGCGAAGCCAGACAATGTCTTTACAGCTTCCTTCACAACGTATATGAACTTTTCTTGATCCCTGGTTTTTTTACCAAAGGCTACTCGCGAAGTGACGCTATATGTCGATGAGTAAATTTCCTGAGTAAGATTGATAGGTGATCCTGCTCTTGAGGCAATCCATTGAATGAGATTCACTACCTCTTCTTCTCTAATAGGTCGGAAAGATTGAACACGTTTTGTGCTTAAAAGCTCTAGCGTGCAAATTTTTCGTAGTTGTCTCCAGTATTCACCATATGGTGCAAAGCCAATGTTTGTGCAGCCGTAAGAAAAGATCTTTGCTGCAAGAATAGGGGGCCTTGATGCAAAGATAAGATCATGGGTTTTCATCACCTCTTTGGCAAACTCTGCTGATGAAACTACTACAGTGGAAACTTCTCCAAGCTTCAGGTGCATAAGGGGTCCATATTTCTTGGCCAAGTCTCTTAGTCCATGATGTGGTAGAGAGCCGATGAGCTGGTGTAGGTTTCCGATAAAGGGTAGCTTCCATGGCCCTGGGGGTAGATTTGAAGCAGAGTAATTGGTTTTGCCTCTGATCTTCCCTATTTTCAGTACCATGATCACAAAGAGAGCGAAGGCAAACAGGGCTCGGAAGGAAGGGCATTGAATCTCCATCAGCAAAATGAAGGTTACTTTGGATTATAGTGGCTTTTGGTGAAACTGCATGCGTTTTACATCTATGTATAAGAAATGATGTAGCAATCTTCCTTCTTTTTCTTTCTCTGATGCAAAGATTCTTCCAACTGGTTGATGTCTCTTTCCTGTAATTAAGAATGGTTAAGAGCTTATCTGAAAATGGTTGGTCCTTGTGTCTTGATGATCTTGCTGGTCTGTCTAGGACCCGTGCTGTTTGTGTAAGCCTTATCTTGTAGTTTTTCATTTTTGTTGTGTAGGGCCCCACTTCATGCATGGCTAAGTTCAAAAGTGACTTAAGTTGTCATCTAATCCTACTGCATTTGCAATACCTGCGGCTATTAGATTTTCTACCTGGCAGCCCTACATTCATTGCATGCATTATCACTTTGAGTTGTCATGTATTTATCATGCATTTGCATAGCATATGCTATATTTTAATTGCTGGCAGCGTTACCTTGTTAATGACATGCCAAATTGACAACACATGCATATCTTCTACGCCACAAAACAATTCTCCAATGGGAGCTTTGCTTGTTGCCGACTTACCTTAGTATAAATAGGTCCCTGTCTATCGTTTCTTCACAAATATTAGACGAGTCTTGTGTAATACTAGAGATTGAATGCAGAGCATGCAAAGCGACACTTTTTAGAGAGAGAGTGGTGATGAAATTCTTGGAGGAGATAAAGGGCGTAGTTTGTGTGTTTTCTTAACTTGGAGCTAACTTTGGAATCAAGATAGAATAGAGGGTTCTTGGGGAGCTTTTACGGAGATTGATTTAATTAAATTTTGTGAGCGCTATATTATGCTTAATTTGATTAATGTTCTTGACATTCGCGTTGGCCAGGCGACCTGTCGTTTTTTGCCTAAAGAAGTGAAGTCACGACTTCTCCAGGCGACCGGTTGCTTGGCAAAATGACCGGTTGTAGCGTCAATTAGTCCGTGCGCTGTTTCGACGTTTTGGCGTGTTTGACTTGGTTTTCCTATTCTTTTGGGGGTTTCTAGCCTATTTTAATAGGGTTTTAGTTTCCTATTCCTAGTTAACTTGTAGCAAAAATCCTATGCATTATAAATAGAACTTTTAGGGCTAGGTTAATTGAGAAGAAAGGAGAATTCAAAAGTGAATTTTCAAGGGAGAAACACAAGACAAAATTCAAGGGTGAATTCTTGAGTGTTTATAAGGGCATCAAAGGGTTTGAGCAAGGGTGAGAGAAAAGAGAGTTAGGGTTCTTGTGAGAGTTAAGGGAGTTTAAGTTGTAACAAAAATTGTTCTTACATACTAGTGAATTTCTTGGGTGAATCACCAAGAGGACGTAGCCACGAGGCTGAACCTCTATAAATCTTTGTATTCTTGTGTGTTTGTTTACTCTTTTCGATGTGTGTGTGTGTTTATTCTCTAAGGGGTTTGTGTGTGTGCTGCCGCATAATCCATCAACAACAAGGTCTTGGAGTGTTTCCACACAACAATAACCTTGCTTGACAATTCCTGGAAGAAGTGGTAGTCTTGTACCCATGGAAGGCACAATATTGTTTGGATGTCTTCTTCGATGGGTTTTGCTCAAGAGGAGGCAGCCTCTGAATTTGAAAAATAAAATGAGATGGAAAATAATTCAAAATAAATAGTAGCATCAAAGTTTAAATAGTAATTGATAGTATGGACAAATAAACCTTAGAGAGGTGAACCAACTTCGTGTCATCTTAACTATTATCCTTAATCATCTTAATGATAAAATTTAAAAAATCTAAACCTTTTCCAGTACCATACAATATCCTTGGCCTTGTTGCAAATATGTAGCCTCCATTGACATTAGGGAGAAAGTCATTTTTGGGCCCCCGCTTGCTCAAACAAGTTTTGATGCCTTTTGGCACAAAATGGCACAATCTAAACCGGCATATATGCAGAGCTCACTGGCATTTGACTAAATTGAGGGGTGTTTGGTACCACTGTCCTCCAGGATCCCCATGTGGTTAGAGTGAAGCTGCAGAGTGATTTTTCTGGTTCAGAAGTCCTATACCGCGTGCCCTCTGTTCTGGTGATTGACTATAAAATTGTTATGTGTTTTTTTTTTTCTGGTTAAGATCAGGATATCAACCAAAAAAAAAAAACAAGAGAAGTCCTAATATACCAAAAATAGCAGAAAAGTAGAACAAAACGAACCCTAAATTATCCGAACCCAGCACTGATTAGGCATGCAATTTTACGAAATGGAGTTTTGGGAAACTCTCATCTCATTATGCAGTTTTGGTGTCTGTGTTTCTGCTAATTTGCACATGATGATAGAAAATGCATTAATATGCATGGGTCTTAATTAAATACTGGCACTAGGCCTTGTAGTTCTTACAACATGGGATAACATAAATAAACAACGACGATTACTCTCAGATAAATACAAACAGTTAAGCATCTTATACTTGGGATTTTTCAGTAGGCGGAGGATGATAAGGAATGGGAATCAAGTGCAGATCGTCTTTTCTTTTGACTGTAGCGCCAAAGGCCTCAGTCATGTCCAGGTCCTCATGCTTCATCCCATTGGGGAGTTTCCAATCAAAATGGAATAATAACAATGCAAGTGGGAGCTCAACGTTGGCCAGACCAAATGACACGCCAGGGCACATTCTCCTACCAGCACCAAATGGGATATATTCAAAGTTTGTTCCCTTGTAGTCAATCGATCTATCGAGGAACCTACTGGGATTAAAGCTCTCAGGCTCATTCCAGTAATTGGGATCTCTACCAATTGCCCATGCATTCACAATTACCTTGGATTTCACAGGTATTTCATATCCATCAATCTCGCATTTCTCTCCGCATTCTCTTGGAAGTAACAGAGGAACCGGGGGGTGTAACCTCAGTGTTTCCTTGATAACTAAGTTTAAATATTTCATCTCTCTAATGCATGTTTCATCTACCTGTCCTTTTCTATTAAACACTTCCCTTACCTCATTCTGTGCCATGTTCATTACTCTTGGATTTTTTATCATTTCTGCCATTGCCCAATCTACAGCTGTAGCTGATGTCTCACTCCCAGCAGCAAAAATATCCTGAAAGTAATTAATTTATTAAATGATCAAAAACTAGTTTCCTCTATGAATTGCAAACAATTCTAAGTAAATAGAAAAATATTATAAATAATCTTAAAAGAAGAAACCATTATTCATGTACCCAAGTAAGCTCATTCACAAGTTATAAATGTTGACTCTTAAGAGTGTCTTAAATATCAGGTAATGATTATGGAGAACAATAGACACATGTGAAACATTTCTCATCAGTAAATCACTCATCATGAAAATGCTGCACATTGGAGTTTCAATCAATAGTTTAAGATAATGCGTGATTAGAATGCAGGAAGAATTTTAATCAGCTTTTTCAAGTAGATAAGTTGTTATATGGTTTCGAACAAGAGATATATAGACAGCACAATGTTGTCTCTTACAAAACATATTGTACTTGAAGAACTAGTTGTAGAAGCTTTGGACGGCTGAAGGGAATGATGTAAGGGATTAGCTGAATTTGCTTAACTAGATTATAGCTCAATTTTTTGGTGTCTGTAGAGGTAAGTCGATGAGAAAGACCAGCCATATTTTTTCTGGCGTCCTTGCTAACATTGTTTGAATCTTTGGTGACTACACTACTTGTAGTGTGTCTACAATGCGGTTTGTGCTATGGTTACTCTTCTAAGGATAAATGTTGAAGGAAATAAATGGTACTTTTGTGGTCATCAAGAACCAGAAAATATTACCAGTATGCTGAGACTGATGGAGGGCCATGTGTGGAGACAGCTTGCGAAACTACTTCCAATACCCAATCACTTAATGATTATAGCATAGCAAGGAATAAGCCCAAGACAGAAGCTAGGAAAACTATCAGGTTTCAAGATGAGTATATTCAATAACTTGGGAACTCTACGTTTGTTGGGCTGGGACCTAGGACTTGCTGTCAGTCATTAAATATGATTTTAATCTTCTGTTTGAGATTATCTCCTATAAGTATGTTGTATGGACAACTCTTGTAATCCAAGTTTGAATAAAAAACCATTGAGTTAGCTGTCAAAGCTTCTCTTTTAGCTTGTATCTTGTTATTCCAATCCCAATTCTCTGCAAATTCTAGTTGAACTGCATCAGAGACCCAAGATCCCTTCACCATGGTAGCCAAGTTTACTTGACTTGGAAGATATGGTGAGGTGACACAACTATTGAGTCTCACAATGCCTGGTGAAGTTAAAAGTGAAGTGTCATATCTATATTTCCAAAAGTTTGAGGCCTATTTAAGTTTGTGAGGTGGGGTTAAGACCAAACCAGACAATATTTGACTATTTGGATGCAGATCATTACATGTTGTACCAGAGACTAAACCATCCGAAGGTGTGTGGCTCCAAAAGGTTCGATACCAAAGCAGATAATAGTTTTTTGGAGTAAAAAAAAATTGAAATTTGAAAAAGTGATTTGATTTATTAAAGCATGATATCAAGGGAAAGTGTGTGTACTTACCAAGATAACTGCTTTGATGTTCTCAGTAGTTAGGGAAAACTCAAGCTCATTTCCATGCTCATGAAATTTAAGGAGAACATCTACCAGGTCTTCCTCTGCTTCACCCTCGCCACTTTTTGTAGTTACCGTATCCCTTTGATGCTCTTTGATGATGTTTCCCATTATCCTGTCAGCTTCTTTATGCAGCCTCTCAAGTTTAGGCCTCATTCCACTTAAGAGATGAATCAAACTGACAGAAGGAAAAACATCTGCAAGAGCGAAGCCAGATGCTGCCTTTGCAGCTTCCTTCACAATGTATATAAATTTTTCTTGATCCCTGGTCTTTTTACCGAAGGCAGCTCTCGAAGTGATGGTAAATGCCGATGAGTAAATTTCCTGTGTAAGATTGATAGGTGATCCTGCTCTTGAGGCAATCGATTTAATGAGATTCCGTATCTCTTCTTCCCTAATAGGTCGGTAAGATCGAACACGTTTTGCACTTAAAAGCTCTAGAGTGCAAATTTTTCGTAGTTGTCTCCAGTATTCACCATATGGTGCAAAGGCAACGTTTGTAGAATCGTAAGACAAGATCCTTGTGGCAAGGACATGGGGCCTGGATGCAAAGATAAGATCATGAGTTTTCATCACCTCTTTGGCAAACTCTGCTGATGAAACTACTACGGCGGAAACTTCTCCAAGCTTTAGGTGCATAAGCGGTCCGTATTTCTTGGCCAAGTCTCTTAGTCTATGATGTGGTAGAGAGCCAGCGAGCTGGTGCAGGTTTCCTATAACGGGTAGCTTCCATGGCCCTGGCGGTAGATTTGAGGCTGAGTACTTGGTTTTGCCTCTGATCTTCCCTATTTTCAGTACCGTGATCATAAAGAGCAAGAAGGCTAACAGGACTTGGAAGGAAGGGCACTGAATCTCCATGAGGAAAACAAAGGTTACTTTGGATTATAGTGGCTTTTGGTGAACCTTCATGCATTTGACATCTATGTATAAGAAATGATGTAGCAACCTTCTTCTTAAATTATTATTATTATTATTATTTTATGCAAAGATTCTCTCAACTGATTAGTATCTTTTTCTTGTAATTAATAATATTTAAGAGCTATTTGTCTAAGGATGGTTGTTCTTTGATAGTTGTCTTAAGGTCTAGTATTATTGCTTGAAATAAATATTTTATCACAGGTAGCTTTGGAGCAATCAATTTACTTGAAATAAATAGTAAACAAAACAAAATGTCAATGCTTTGGTCAGATTGCACGGGTTCTAAATCTGATTGGTTTTGACGAAAAAAAAAATCCGATTGGTATCCTTTTCCAGCGGTACTTAATAATTAACAACCTCAATTAACAAAGGTGAGATCGTTTCACATTTTCTATTTTCTTTATTTTCGAAGTATAACTTGGAATCTCGAGGATATATAAATCTTTATTTTCAAAGGGCTCTGCCAAGTGTTTGATTAGTCCAAAATATAGTACATTGCCAAGAGTATAACTTAATAACAGTGGAGTTAAGAATTTGAATTGAATCAATTATTTCTCTTACATTTTAGTAAGCGCAGGTGAAGTCAGACGTTTAGTCATTTCCTATAAGGGGTAGCTTCCATGGCCCTGGGGATAGGTTTGAAGCAGAGTACTTGGTTTTGCCTCTCTTCCCTATTTTATGGACCATGATTATAGGGTTTAGCAAGAAGGCAAACTTGACTTGGAAGAAAGGCCATTGAAGGTCCATGAAGAAATACATGAGAGTTCCTAGTGGAATTGCATGCATTTTTCAATTTTAATTTTTTTTAGTACAACCGATTCGGGGAGGGGGGTTTATACAAACATTCATTGGGTGCCTGGCAATTTCGAACATCTGACCCACATAGGTGGAGGTGGAAAAACTCAATGAGCTATATTCCCTAAAGGATTTAGTTTCCTGTTTATTCGTATTTATTTTCTAGATTTGCTGTATATATTCCTTGTCTCTCAAGGACTTCATTCTTACTTAGAATAGGAAATCCTTTGTGTAGGTACCAAGCAAAGCTTTGTATATAATTATCATACGATTGTTCAATGAAAAGCATTGAGAATATTCCAAACCTTTCATGGTATCAGAGCCTGAGACTCACAGTCCTCGATCCTCCGTTTTTTTCTTGTTCCTCTTTTTTTTTTTTTTTTTTTTTTTTTTTTTTTTTTTTTTTTTTTTTTTTTTTTTTTTTTTTTTTTTTTTTTTTTTTTTTTTTTTTTTTTTTTTTTTTTTTTTTTTTTTTTTTTTTTTTTTTTTTTTTTTTTTTTTTTTTTTTTTTTTTTTTTTTTTTTTTTTTTTTTTTTTTTTTTTTTTTTTTTTTTTTTTTTTTTTTTTTTTTTTTTTTTTTTTTTTTTTTTTTTTTTTTTTTTTTTTTTTTTTTTTTTTTTTTTTTTTTTTTTTTTTTTTTTTTTTTTTTTTTTTTTTTTTTTTTTTTTTTTTTTTTTTTTTTTTTTTTTTTTTTTTTTTTTTTTTTTTTTTTTTTTTTTTTTTTTTTTTTTTTTTTTTTTTTTTTTTTTTATCAATGGTTCTCTTCACCATGAGGTCCTTACCACCGTTGCTACCAAAACCACTGGCCTTGACACTTGGGTGGTGCTTGAGACTCATTTCACTTCTCCGAATCAAAATAGTCTTCTTCAACTACGCAGTGATTTGCTTCGCATGACCCGTGGTGATTCTCCCATCATTGATTTTCTTGATCGCATTAACTCTATTTTCGATAACTTGGCTTTGGCTGGTGCTCCCATTTCTGATTCTGATCTCTTTGTTGAGGTTATGAACAATGTTGGCCCCTTTATGAAAACACTGTTGCCGCTGCTTAAGCTCGTGAGACACCCATTAGTATTTCTTATCTTGAAGCTCTCTTTCTCTCTACGGAACATCGACTTCAGGCTTCTTCTTCTCCTACTGTTTCTTCTGGTGTGACAGCCATGGTGGCTTCCTGTGGAGGTCACAGTGGTCGTGGATATGGCGATCACGACAGATTTGCTAGTCAAAGTGGTCGCATTTTTGGCAATCGTGGTTCTTTCTCGCCCTCACGCTCTGGCTTTTCCTTATGTCGTAGTTTTTTTGGCACACCTAATAGTGCTCCTCGCTCAGGTCCACATCAGCAACGTCTTGGCAATACTTTTGGGCTTGGTGTTATTGGCCTACTACCTTGTGGCTCTACTCCTTCCTATTTTGGGCCTCCTTCTACCCGTGGGCCTATTCAATGTTTCAATTGTCATGGTTTTGGCCACATCGCTGCTGTCTGTCCCTCTAAGGCTTGTTCTGTGCCTTCGCTCAACATCCTTCGCATAGTGGCCATCAACAATGGGTTGCTTATACCGGTGCTAACACTCACATTACCAACGACTTGAGAAACTTACCCCTTTCTAGAGAGTATCATGGTTCTGACAATGTTGGAGGTGTGCTTGGTGGAACAGGTTTGCCTATTAAAAATATTGGTCACTCTCGTTTCTCTCACCTTAATTCTTCTTTTCACCTCAATGATGTTCTTCACTATCCCGATGCCTCTCTTCCTCTTTTATCTATTCATAAATTTGCTAATGACAACCATTGTTTCTTCACTTTTTTTCTTGATTGTTATTTAATCTAGGATTTGGTGATGGGGAAGATGCTTTTCTGGGGCAAGAGTAGCAATGGCCTATATCCATTTTCTTTTACACCGAATGAGTCTTTTCAAGTTTTGCCTTATAGTTTTGCTTTACTAGGTGTCCGTGTTGACCGCTCCGTGTCGCACTCTCACCTTGGTCATCCTGCTTCATCTACTTTGCAATTTTTGTATCACATAATAAACTGCCATCTTCTGGCACTAGGTTTAGTTCTTTTTGTCAATCATGTTTGTTGGGTAAAAGTGTTAAATTACCCTTTAGTTCATCTTCTTGTCTCTTATTCTCCGCTGAAACATATTCACTCCGATGTGTGGAGTTCTTCAAATAAATCTATTGCTGGTTTTAATTATTATGTTTTATTTGTTGATGATTTTTCTCGTTATTCTTGGATTTTTCCGATGAAATTGAAATCAAAGGGTTTCTCTCACTTTGTTAATTTAAAGCTTTGGTTGAAAATCTGTTTTCTACTACGATTAAGCCCTTTCAATCCGATGGGGGTGAGGAATACGCTAGTCATCAATTTAAGGATTTTTTTTTAATCTCATCATGGCATTCATCATCGTCTTTCTTGTCCACATCATCCTGAGCAAAATGGCTTAGCCGATACTTACAATCTTCCTTCTAAGTTGCTTCAACACAAATCACCCTATGAAATTTTGTTTCACAAAGAACCTAATTATTCGTTTTTAAAAACTTTTGGGTGTGCATGTGTTCCTTATTTACGGCCATATAATAATAATAAATTACAATTTCGGTCTTCCAAATGTGTGTTTCTTGGTTATTCTTTGAACCATCAGGGTTATCGTTGCTTAGATCTTGTTTCTATTTGCGTTTTTTTTTATTGAGTCATGTGTTATTTGATGAATTTTCTTTTCCATTTAACAAGGCCCAGGCTGCTCCTACTCCAGACCATTCTCTGTTATCGGACCCGCCTCTCATCTTCTCTATCCCGCATTTCTCTTCCTATAACCCACGTCTTCCAGTATCATAGCCTATGTCTAGTCACCCTTCTCCAGTGCCTGCCCCTCCCGCCTCCACAGTAACACGTGTTTCTAGCTCTGCCCTATCTGTATTTGCCATCACCCATGCCGCATTTGCTTTTGCGCCCAACTCCCTAGTCGTACAGCCAACTGATTCCTCATGCCCTTCTCACCCGCCGGTTAGTCCCCCTGCGCCTTCAGCTTCTTGATTCTCTTAGACCTACACTAAGAACCCAAACCGCAAACTTTTCTTCCCTCTTCTAGCCCCTATTTCATCTGGTACATCTTCTCCTCTTATTTTTGATACGTCTCTGGTAAGTGCCTCCCTTGCTCATTCGATGGTTACTCATGCTAAAACCGTTATCCATAAACCTAATCCTAAATTAGCTAATCATGCATTGGTTTCATCTTCTACTAATGATACTGTTGAGCCTACATTTTTTTCACAGGCTAACAAGCATAAGGAATGGTGTCTTGCTATGGCGGATGAGTTTAATGCTCTTCTTCGTGCTGGGACTTGGAATTTGGTCCCTCGTACTCCACTATGAATGTGTTGCCGAATAAGTGGGTTTTTCGTTTCAAGCGGAATTTCGATGGCTTTATTCAACGTTCTAAGGCTCGCTTAGTGACCAATAGTTTTCATCAACAATCGGGCTTGGACTATGGTGAA